ATCTCTAATGAAACTGAGGACTGTTAGAAAAGATGTCTATGATTCTTGACTGAGAAACTCAATGTCGAGACACTAATATATTCTATTTGTGATCATCCACCAAATCACTGTTGGAACTGATGACTATGATTTATGATTATTGGCGAGGGTGGGTCGATGATAATTGATTATTATTATTGGCAATTTTGGGGCGGCTCATAAATATATATTGATTTATGTCACCATAAATGGCAATGTACCATTGGCAATAGTTGACAAGCTTTGTATCGATGATAATTTTACTTTTAATTATTTATTTTTGAAAAGATCCTAAAAAAATTGATTAAGGTTTCCAATTACATTACAGCCTCTCTTCATAGATAGAAATAGAATGGTGAAATTGAATAACAACATAATCCATATTAAAGCAAATTGTAACCAGGTAACCAGTTTCAAAGGGAAATTTAGCCTTGGTAATCATTCTTTCAAGGGAAATGATACTTGTGGCTTGGTCCTCACAAACCCCCCCACCAGTAGGGGGCGCCATTGGATGGCCAGGGCCAATGGCCGTCAAGCATCACTCTTCTTTCAAAACTATCTGTTTCTCATATTCAATTTTAGCTACACATTATAGCAATAAAATATTTTTCAAGTGAATCTAAAATTTTTCCTACATAAACCATATATTCTGCCAAAAAATTACTATTCGAAAACTCATTCTTCCTAAAAAAACCCTATTTGACAAAATATTTTTGGAAAAAATGAATTTTAATTTTGGAAGAATGTGTAATTAAAAGTAGGAAAAGTTTTGAGTTTATTTTTTATTATATATCTCGTGAGATTTATAAATATTACTTATTTATTTACTTATAAATAAAATCCTTTATAAATTTTTTTCAAAAATTCTTTAAATTTTTCGTTCTACCCATGAAGTCTTATGTGGGCCCTCTTCATACAATAGTTGACCATTTGATGACCGTCCATGGTGGACTAAATATATGTTATTATTAGGGCGTAGACATACATTAAGTGCTACTTAAGATATGTGATTTTGTGTGGCCATTATTAGGCCGTAGATACACATAAAGTGTGACTTTCCGCACTCGAACTTGTTTTTTTCCTCATTTGGCCACTTCAAATGGACGTTTTCCATTTTTGAAGGGTCAAGTTTTTTAGATATTTCCCCTTCAATAACTTAAGATATTCTTGGTTAGCTTTATCGCATTTAAATGAATATTGTATACGTATCAAGACTTTTAATAAAATAAAGAAAAAGAGTACAAGTCCCTCAGGGCACATTCCAACTGGCAAAGATGAGGACGCTTCAAAGCTGACAGATCAGAGGTCGTGAGTTCAATTTCTGAAAAGCTCTTGGAAGGCAGGAGCTCTACTGGAAGGCAATGTGCAATGATGGGAAACTACTTGCTTAACACTTTGACAGATCAGTTGGGGGGCTCTTGAGCACTGGTCAGTTTGGGGCACAACCTGCGGTTTAACCTGTCTGCAACTTGAGGGGTCAAGGTGTAGACTCCAGGATTTAGTTACTGTAAGGTGAATATCTGGATATTAAAAAAAAAAAAGGAAAAAGAGTACAAAGTTAATAAAAAAAATTATCGAAATTATTTCCTCAGAACAGAAACCAATTATTTCTAAATATATAATTTAAAATATTTCTTATATTTTGGTTTTCTGGTAAAGTGTAATCCAATTTGATAAGATAATGTTGTCTTTTCAAGTGTGAAAGAAATTAAAGTTGAAAGATTGAGTGGAATTAAAGTCTAAATATTTTCATCTCGTCGAACATTTTAGAAGAAATTTATTTGTTTTAAGTTGACTAACTTATAAGCTTACACATACATGTTCCGTGGTTGAAAAAATAGACTATTCTTTTTGTGATTTTGTTGGAAGAAACAAGTGATCGGCTTCATTGGCTAGTACTCCAATCGTTCCATAAAAATAGATTTACTTTCTTTTTTTTATTTGTCTTTATTTATTACCATGTCACTTTTCTTATTGAAAGCGTACTCGATTTCTTAGTTTTCCTTTTAATTTAGAGAAACCCGTAAATTGATCCACAACTTGAGACGATAATTTAATCTTCATATATTAAAAAGTAATACGTTGGTTTCTAATATTTTATTATAGCTGCACGGTCAATTTTCCCTTTTCAGTAATATAAAAACTCTTGAAGTTTTCATAATTTTTATTTTTTATTTTATTATTTTATTTACAATATAATTTTTGTCAATAAACTAAATTTATAAAAGCTAGTTTTTTTTTCTAATTATTGCATAAACAAAATTTGAACTTGGAGATTTGTTGGTAAAAGTATTTGAAAATAAAATTTATAATACTTTAAAACTTTACCTAAATATAAAGTTTTAGACAATTGGAGCATTTACTAAGAGGTTTGTTGGGTGGTGTTGGATCTCTCTTCCACAAAAAGCTAGTTCAAGAGGTCGGACTTTTTTTCATACTTATAAATAGAACACTAACATCATCCACAATCGATGTGAGACAACTTCAACAATCTCCTCCTCATACATTGGATTTTGTGGGAGACTAAACAAGTCTCCCCCCACATATCGACCCTTGCGGGAGACCAAATTCGTCTCTCTCTCTCTCTTACACAAACTCGTATCTCTGTGACTGTTGGGTCGGATATTGTTGATAAATCGAGCTCTGATAACAGTATTGGGTGGTATTGAATATCTCTCACCCTTCAAAAGCTAGTTCAAGAGGTGAGATTTTTCCTCACACTTACAAACTAAATATCAATTCCATCGACAATCGATGTAGGACAACCTCAACAAGGTTAACCAAGTTCTAAGTGAAAAAAAAGTTATCCACTATTTGTAACATATAAACTTATTTCTAGACATGGGCTACTTTAAAGTCTTGTGCCATGGTCCTTCTGCCTTGTTCATTATTTGAACACTTTGTTTTTTTCGAAGGAGACAATGTTATCCATGATTGTATGTTTGGCTAAGCTTATCAGTAAATAAGTAACTTTCAAAATAATTACATTTTTGTTGGTCAAATTATAAATAAGTTACATATTTGTATGTAACTTCCGCTAGCTCTACTGTTATAATAAGTAATATTTTAAGTATAAACAAGAAAAAATAACTTATTTTAACATTGTTCAAAAATAGAAAGTTACTTGAAAAGTAATTTTAAAACATTAAGAATTGATTTTACCCATCTTATTTTAATAAGACTAGATTTTAAGTTTGTTTTCCAATATACACAAATTGAAAATTTATATTTCTCACGAATAGGTTCAAAGAATATATTTTTAATGTAAAGCTAAAAGCATTGAAACGGTGCTTTACCCTCAATAGATCATTTAGTTGCATCAATCCATTGTGTCTATATATATGTTAAAACTCAAGACCCAAGATCAACTAAAATATTACATAACACAGACGAAATAAAAGGCATCAAGTTCTCATTGATTGGGCTCAGAACAAGCATTGTACTTGTCCGTACAATGTTTAATAGCTCACAAAACATAGCCCCAAACCACGACACAGAGACAGTAACTCAATGGACTAAATCTCTTCAAAACACCAATACAACCCTTTCAAACTGAAACCGAAAAATCACCACGATTCAATGCATTCAGATTCACCAGAAAACCAGAAATTTATGGTCTAGAGAACAAGAATCACGAAGAAGAAGAAAGGGTAGATACACTAAGTCTCGAAGGAGAGAAGATCCATAAGGTTCCACACATAGCACATGATGAGACACAAGAATAATGAAACAAGTGAGCCAAAAAATATCTCAGACCAACTAATATATAGAAATGGTCATCACCGTAGATGTTATGTTTACGAGATCTAAGGGTCCAGAGCCACGTACATGTATCATAAGGTTTGGGCCAATTCATAGCATATTTCAACATTGTGTTATTGGGCAATGGGCTGAGTAGTATCTGTTGGATCATATTTTTTCATCTTCACCCAAATGGATCGAACCACCAAACTGATTTGGCATCACAACCCTCATAATATATATATACACGTACACATATGTATATATATACATACATGTACATGTATATATATGCATGTATATACACAGAATATAGAAGATCAGTAGCTACATATTCTAAGAGCAAGACCCAATCATATAGTTTCAATAAAATCCAATGTGCCTATAAATAGTTT